TCGTGCACTTGCGAGTATCACAAGTTGAGGATGCAGCTTAATCCATTTTGGTGGAGCTAAATCTACGCAACAGTTCCTAATGCTTAATTTTAGGTTAGACAACAAATGATCAAATTAGGGAATTAGGAACACAAGGTTATGACCACACACCATGGCTTAATCATACTTTAGCTAGAATCAATCCATTAATCTAATTGAACTTGGGAACTTATTTGCTTGAGTTATTTCCTTTTTTTCTTGTTGTATTTATTTCCTTTCTTTTTCATTTCTGGTTTGTGTAGGGAAAATGAATGGGATCATTCAATCACCAATCCTCGTGGGATCGACCTCGCACTTACATACGCTATACTACCGAACGACTCGTGCACTTGCGAGTATCACAAGTTGAGGATGCAGCTGAATCCATTTTGGTGCAGTTGTATCTACACAACAAGCAGCCACCTCAGTCTTGCGAGTTGTGATAATTATCCTACTGCCATTGTTGTTCTCGGGTAATGCAAGCTTTATACACTCCCACAAGTATGTGCTCCACACATCATCAAAAACAACTGCATATCTCTTTTCCTTGAGATATTCTCGCAGAGTGTCAATCAACAATTTCAAATCCATTGTTTCAATTCCCTCTGGTACAGACTCCTTCCTCATCCTGTGGAATTCTGCAATCATGTTTCTGAGTATGTCTTCGTTCTTGTATGATTGTGACACTGTGATGCAAGCGCGCCAATCAAACCATTCTGTGAACCTTGGGTCCTGTGGAATTCTGCAATCAGGTTTCTGAGTATGTCTTCGTTCTTGTATGATTGTGACACTGTGATGCAAGCGCGCCAATCAAACCATTCTGTGAACTTTGGGTTTTCAAAGACTTTCTTTGCAAGAGTGGTCTTTCCCAGACCTCCCATACCAACCAATGAACTGACCGAGCGTCTAGATTCTACCTCTCTTCTTATCGACCAATCTATCAGTTTATATCTCAAAGTCTGAATACCAACGAGTTCATCTTCCTCTGTGTAAAGGGAAGCCATTCGCGGGTCAAAGAACATATCATCTCTCCTTGAAGAGCTAAATGAAGTTTGCTCTGTTGAATTGAAGCGATATGCTTCACTTGCTTGCTGGATTTGGAGGACACGTTTTTTGATAAGTTGAATCTCTGAGGCTATCTCGTGGCGTGCAAATAGCCCTCCCAAAAAATGACTGGTTTTATGAATGAAACCAGTAAATCCACGTTTGTTACGACGGCGTGCCACGTGATGTAGGTATTCATCAATGACATCTTCTATGTGAGTGGCCATCTCCCTTGTTTGCTTCACCCAAGTTTTCACACCGCTGCTCATGTTTGCCCTTTCTGCTTTTGCATCTGCATCCTTAAGGAAAGACGTCATGCTTTCTAGGAGATCTTTTATGCTTGTAACGTCGTCATGAATGCCTCTCAACAAATTCCCTTTTTCCCTTAACAGTGGAACCAACTTGTCAATGACAATGTTCACTGCAGTCTCTGCTATCACTCAGCTAGTCTGCTCTGAGAAAACAAAATTAAAGACAAAAGAATAATGTACAACTCGCATTAGAGGATAAGTTGTTGAGTTAATTCTAAACTTTGTGTTATCTTGTTCTAGACAGAGAGTAAGTAGTTATGTATATACCTGCTGTATTTTCTCTTGTGAGTTGTGGTCTAAGTCTTGATTTGCATACCCAAAAAAAAAGTCTTCAATAGCAGTGGGGTCAACCGATCACTAAATTATCTGATGGGAACGATGTTACCAGTTTAGTTAGAACTAAAGCCTATTTTATAGCACAAACCAAAATGTAATGCGCCAAAAAAATTTAAAACTGATGAGTAAATCAGAGATAGCACAGAGTCGGTGTTTGAGAACACTAAAATAATCAACAAAACAAGCAAAGGAGGAAATAAGAACAAAACTCGAATCGAAAGAGAAAAGACAGCACATACGAGAAGAAAGATGAAGAGAGAGATACCTGGTCACAGAGAGAGAGAGGAAGAAGGCGTTGGAGAAGGTAGCAGATGATGAGCAGAGGAGGACTAACTTAAAATGCTGCACGACATCACAACTCATTTTCTTATTGTTTATCTTTTAGGCAAAAGGTCATTTTGGGTCCTTGTAGTTTGCCACTTTTACCACTTTGGTCCCTGTCGTTTCAATTTTATCAATTTTGTCCCTGTAATTTCAATTTGAAGCAATTTAATCTTCAATATTTGTCAATTTTTTTTAACTTATGTTAGTTCTGGAGGGGCAATTCGGTCCACAAATTATTATTCTCTTTAAAATAATTTTAAAAAATTAAAATACAAAAATTATTAAACAATTCATTCATTTTAAAAATAAATATTAAAGACAAATGGAAAAAGTAAAATCTTAAAATTGAAAAAAAATAAAAAAATTACCACCGCAGAGGCAATTGATTTTGCACTTCTGAGTTTGGGAATTGTAGACTCAATAGAGAAAGCCTACAAGAGAATCAAAGAACCAAACATAGCAAAGCTTAGGAAGACAGTCCTCATAGATTCACCTTTCTCTCTCTCTCTCTCTCTCTCTCTCTCTCGACTTGGTGGGGATGGATCTGTGGGTTGCGGCAGGCGAAGAACTTGGTGACGAAGACGATGGCGTGGCCTTGACGAAGAGGGTGGTGTGGCCTTGGCAACGAAGACGAAGATGAGGAATCTAGTGTGGGGCTCGTCGGATCTGGAGGCTAGTGTTTGGGGTGGGGCTGGGTTTTATATTTTATGGGGCAAAGGGGTGGGGCTGGATCTATGGTTGGGGTGGGAATGGGTGTCGGGTTTGGAGGGAGTTGGGGGTTGGGCGAGAGCGGAAGGTGGAGGTCATTTATGTCGAGGCTGGGTTTTGGCTATCCCTCTGTGAACCTCCCTCTCTCTCACTCTATGTGTCTTTGTCTGTCTCTGTCACTCTCTATCTCAGTCTATGAACTCGCGAAGTAGGCATGGGTGCCTTGATAAAATTTTTGGAAGCGAGATGAGGGCATTTTCCCTTTTGTTTGGTTGAAGAAAGTTTATGGATGGTGGGCAATGGCTAGTGGTAGTCGGTGGAAGGTGCGTTTTGGCGATGGCTAGGTGGTGGTCGGTAGACAATGGTTTTTAGGGATGGCTGGGTTGGGGTGACGGTGAAGGGCTGGGGCATGGAGGGGAAGAGAGTTAGCTTTTATTTTTTTATTTTTAATATACATTTTATTTTAATTTTTTAAAATTATTTTTAAAGAGAATAATAATTTGTTGACCAAATTACCCCTCTAGAACTAACAGAAGTTAAAAAAATTTGACAGAAATTGAAGATTGTCCTTAAATTGCTTCAAATTGAAACCACATGGATAAAATTGACAAAATTGAAACGACAGGGACCAAAGTGGTAAAAATGGCAAACTATAGGGACCCAAAATGACCTTTTGCCTATCTTTTAAAACAAGGATTTGGCTTATTTAAGGGCGGAAAAACACAATGTAGCAATCGCCGGCAGGCCAAGGAGCCCAGCCAACTATCATATATACCTACTACTACCCGGTCCAGGAAGAAATTTCTAATTTAATTTACGTCCTTTAAATTTGCACAAAACTTTAATCTAGCACCTTATGTTTGAAGAGTTCACATGTTAAGCACAAATAAAAGTCACAATTATAAATTTGTAATGTTACACCTTCTTCAGCTAATCCACTTACTCTGAATAATGGAGGCCCTCCTCTATGTCTAATTATTATAATACTTTCGTGCACAACATCACAACTTATTTTCTTATTGTTTATTTTTAGTTTTAGTTTTAATAATTTCTCACTAAAAAACCATATCTTTAAATAACTTTGGCTTATTTGCGGGTGGGAAAAACAATGTACCATTGAATCGCCGGCCAACTCAATGTAGCATTTAGGGGCGGGAAAAACAATTTATTTTTGGCTTAATTTCTAATTAAAAAATAATATTTTTAATTTGAGCACAATGCACAAGTGATAGTCTAAATTATGAGAGAGAGTTTGAACTCTAGTTACACACACAAGTCACATAGGAGTTTGAACTTGAGACAATTGATATGCAAATCAAGGCCATTTCCCACTAGATTAGCCTCCGTGGACAATCATATCTTTAAATAACTTTTACTTATTTAAGGGCAGGAAATGTAATGTAGCATTGGAGAAGGCAGTAGCTACCACTACTATATTAAAACGCTGCACCTCATCACTGCTTATTTTCAATTTTAATAATTTCTCATTAAAAAACCATCTCTTTAAATAACTTTGTCTTAATTAAGGGCGGGTAAAAATACGTATCGTTGATTGAATCGCAGGCCAACTCAAACCAACTGTTCAGCCAAAAGTTTCTAATTTCATTTTACGTCCTTTAGATGTGCACAAAAGTTCAATTTAGTACCTTTTATGTTTAAAGAGTTCACATGCAAGGCATAAAATTGAGTCAAAATTGTAAATGCATGTGTGATGTTACAACTTCTTCAGCTAAGCAATCTATTCTGATGTTTATGTGATCATGGATTCAGACCTAATCAACATTTCAACGTGAGAGCTTTGTTGTTTCAATTTTGATCTGCTTCTTTGTCATTTGGGATAGTTAACGGGTTGAGCTTTCTTTCGAACCGAACCAATCCGTAATCACAACTTAAAACATAACAACCCTTAAAACTTCACTATAATATATATTGATGCAACAGGTTTATTCTTAAGGAGTGAGAATTTTTCTTTGCTTCTACAATGAAAAAGATATCTGGTTATGCTTGGTTTTGTTTTCCTTCTTGTGCACATCAAAATATAATGTTCTTACTAGACTTTTTCTTCATGTGTGTGATGTAAGATTATATATATATACGACCAGCAGAGCAACCCCTGGAAAAATTAAATACATTTTTTTTAAAAATAACACTCATGTTCTACATATTATAAAACAAGATAATTAAATAAAAAAATGAATATGCTAGTATAACTGGATCTTTTTCAACCTTAACCCATACGGGAAAATAATGTCCAGCCATTAAATCTAGGACTGTCCAAGGAGAGCTCTTTGTGGTTCATTCAAGGAGGGCAGCTCCCACCACAAAGAAAGCATAATTTAATTGTCTGACAGTAAGCTTAGCAAATAAAAGATTAGCATCCAAAATGCAATGAAAATAGTATAGGCATTCAACGAAGAGATTACTTGTAGCAGTGCTTTTACATGAAGACATATATCCACTTATGAGTGCTACATGAAAACTGCTGAATCTATTACTTTGGACACAGTGCTCTGTTTCTTGAACCGGAAAGTTGAACTGAAATTTTTATTTATTAAAGATGGGCCATCATGAATTATGATACAGAATTGGAACAATGGTGATATAATCGCATCAGGGAAACTGTTATTATACTATTTATTTTTTATTTTCATGGAAATAAATAATTTAAGCCTAAGCAAGCTGTAACAGAGACAATACAAGATTCAAATGAACTATCTAGAAAGATGTATACGTGTATAAATGCACACCAAATAATCGTATTGGAGCATTGGCCAGTTAAAGAGCAAGCAAGAGAATCCCTCTACCCTTGGTGACTATAATTCAAACATACACAGCATCAATTATCTGAAAGATGGACAACTCAAAGCTATTCATATGAAAATTGAATGAATAGCTTTCATTTAAAATGGAGCCCATAAAAACATA